GGCCGGCGCCCAGGCGTGACGGCGGGAACGGTCCCCCGCGGGCCCGGCCGGCCTCCGCCGGCTTCCCCCTGTCAGGCCTCGCCCGCGCCTCCTGTCAGGCCTCCGCCCCGCCCGGGGCAGCGGCAAGGGGCAGAGTTGCCCCGGTCCCTCCTCAGCCTTCCCGCCGGCGAGCCTGGCCGTGGCCCTGGCGAAGTCTTCCCCGGTTCTCCGACCTTGCTCCTGGGCTTCGGGCGTTGCGGTCGTCTTCACCTGCGGCTCCCCTGGGTTAAACGCGCCCTGGCGTCTTCCAGCCAGAAGTCAACTCCCGCCCTCCGGGAAGAGGTTGATTTTAAAGTCGTGAGGTGAAACGGAAAGCTTGCCCGCAGTTTTTCCAGCGTCTTTCTGCGATCTGGCAGGCTGAGGACATGCGGTTTGATGGTGGCGGTTCATGTTTGCTTTTTATTTGAGAACAGCTAAAATCCCTACACAGTTACCAAATTCCAGGATACGGGCTTAAAAAAAGTAACAATCAATCCACACAGTCGTAGAACCTCATGATGAAATGGTAGGAATAGGCCAGCGACAGTCTCTCAGGATCTGCTCTTCCTCTCTCCCTCCTTTGCCCCCCAAGGTATTTGGTTGTCCCCCCTCCCTGCTGAGGCTGGGACTTGATCCGCTCGATGTCTCAGATAAAGCCAGAAGCTGTGGGTCCCGTTGCCGTGGAGGGGTCACCCCGCAGCCTGAGGCGACCATCTCTTCTCGCCCCCCTCCTGAGGAGCAGAGGTGTGGGCTGGAGGTGTCGCGCCCAAGGCTGGCTGCTCCCACATCTGGGTGGCAGAGGGAAGAGCACAAAGAAAACTTCTCAGTCTCCCTGTCCTTGGGGCTGGGTTAAACATCTGGGCAGTCCCAAGCAACAGGGGACAGTTGTAAAAGCAATGTAAAAGGTTTTCTGGAGCAAGGCCCAAAGTAAAAAGCTTTTTCTAGGCATTACAGTACATATGTTTTCCAGCCCAGGCACAGATACATGCACTCCCTTCCCACGCATCTGACTCTCATTCCAGGCTGTAGTGCTTTATCTGAGGGCGAGAGGCTGAATTTGGGAATGATGCCCAGACACAGAGCCAAAGAAACTTTATTGGCAAGTCTCTGAAAGATTTTTTAATTTGTTTTCTTTCTGCTTTGGAGCAGTTTCTTACCCTCCGTGGCCATCCTGTGGCAGCCTGCAGCTCTGAGGATATCCGCCCAGCTCAGCGAGACAGTGATTCAGCCCCAAAGCGTCTGACACTTGTTGGGATAGCGTCATCATCCTGCGGTGCAGTAAGTTTGTGCTGCAGGGACCTCAGGGGTTCCAGCTCTCTTCAGTTTCGAAGGGAGCTCAGCATTTTTTCAGCTACCAAGATTGCTTTGCACAGCTTTACATTTTCACCTTTGTCTTCTCAAAGGAAAAGGCTACAAACAGACTGCACAAAGGCTAAGATGCTCCTTTCCATGCTTTGCATCTGGGGGGGAAGGGGTGCGTGGGTTTTGGAAACCTGCCTCTGCCCTGCCAAGTTCAAGCCGTCTTGCCAGTAGTGTGAGTGGAGCAGTGGGAGAACTGGTAAGCCTCAGAAGCTGCCCCAGACCTTAGAAACCTCAGTGTAGGAACAGAAGAAACTGTAGTGCCTTCTTCCCAGAGTAACATCAGTAACTTTATTAAGGACTTGCCACATAACAGTGTTGTTTTATTTCTCTCTCCAGCACACCTTATAACCCACCTTGGGAAAACCAGTTGCTAAGCCTGAGTCCCTGCAGAGGAAGCAATCAGCTGCACCATCTGCTGGTTGTACCTCCTGCTGCCTCCACTCTCAGGCAAACACAGATGAAAACCCACAGAATCACCCCAAGAAAAATATGCACTGGTGTGTTTTGGGCAGGTTTTCAAATCAGAAGGAGTCAGCATGAGGTACAGCCACCCTGCAAAGTGGTTTTCACCTGTCCTCCTCTGAATTTACTTCTCTTGAGTCAGCCCAGCTGAGTGTGAGTGTGACAGCTGCTGATGAGATCCCTAATTCGTGTTTTAAATGACACCCTCTCATAGACTGACTAGTTTAAGTTAAAAACATTACTACAGTTGGATTAAGGGTTTTCCCCTCGGAAGAGTATTGGGGACAAAATTCATGTTATCTGTTTGGGCGATAAGTCTTTTATCCCATAATTACTGTATTAAATCAATAATTTCTTTTTGAACTATCACTTTTATTTTTAAAAAATAACCCAGTCTTTATTTAAAAGGTAAATATGCCAACAGCTTCAAATAGGGACTATAAGCTTATATTTAGACCCTTAAATGTATGCATCTACTAGAGCAGAACCTCACTACCCAAAAATTCACCAATGCAAACAACTGAATTGACTGAAAGCTCATCTGCAGCTGCTATTGCTGCCCCTGCCATCATTCCTGCTGGAAAATTGAGTTTAATACACATAATCTAGAATTACTCTTTTTTTCATTTTGTCCTTTGAAAAAATACCAATTTGCAACGAAAAAACTCAACAGAATAACTGAAAAGTATTTACTTGCAGAGCAAATCAGCACCACACTGCTGTAATATGAGTTTTTATTTGTCTGTGAAAGATCTGGTCCTGAATTATTGAATTGTGTGGTTCCCCTGTAAATGACTAGGGTTATATGGATGGCTTTTTTCTTTATTT